GGCCCCAAAAAAAAAAAAAAAAAAAAAAAAAAAAAAATAGGATCATGGGACGATCTGAACCATTTTTGATGAACTGGATTAGCTCACTGTAAACTGCTTCTTAAAACTTTACAGTGACTCTGTTTGTAAGCCTTGTTCCTCGCCTCCTATTTTTTACGTTCTTCTGTAACCAAGTCCTTAACACCTGCTTTGCCTTTTTGCTCTCTTTATCTCCTTGTTCTCTCATTGACTCTTTCTGGAAAGTTCTTCCAGTCAGAGTTCACTAAGTACTCTCCTGCTTTTGCAAAGAACAGCATTTTGAATACTCAGCTTCATAAAGCTTGTCTGCCAGTGAATACATAGTTTCTCTTTCCGCTTAACATTATATCTGATCCTTTAATAGCTTCTTGCTTATTTTCCCCATAGTTCTCTGGCTTCTGCCAAATGTTGTACACACTCAGTCGTTTTATTGGTCCGTGTCAGTATAATCTGCCTTAGTAACTGGATAAGCTTATTAATTTGTATAGTTCCTGGCAATTCTGACTTCTCCCATACCTCAATTTGTACGGTTCTTGGCAAATTCGAACTGATTGTATGGAGTCTTCAGATTGTCTATGATAACATCTTCATTTTAGCAATTCTCTGTCCTGAGAGATAGATCAGCTGTAAACTGCAGCAGGAGTTTCCCTCCCTGACACTTCATCAGACTTCATCATAGCTCATTTGTTTGAAAAAGGTGATTAAAACTGGAAATCATAAAAACAGATAATACATCTTTTAAATATTTAAGTTTTAACTTAAAGCACGTAATGTACATTTTATTCCCCAGTCTCCGAAGAAGAGCCAAGGTCTGTCTTCGAGTAGAAATCCCTTTGCATCCTGTACGGGCTTGTCTTGCATAAACCATTTCTATGATGCATTATCTACACTGCCCACTTTAAAAGGAGTAAGAATTTAAAGGCCTTTGCTGAGTAAATAAGTGCAAAATCACTTTAGGTTTTCATATTTTTTTTTCAATTTTCTGCAGTTGTATTATCCATTCCTAGTTTGATAACCTTTTTTTTCCTTTTTACTTTTTTTAACCTTAGTCTTTCTAAAGGTTTAACTTGTTCTAGAAACAACTCTTCTACTCATTCATATTTTATTGGTTTATATACTATTTAATTATGTAATTACAATAATCAGTACATTGGCACAGAGTGTTTGAGAATGAACATAGCTGAGTCTCCGTTGGCATACCGCTCAACATATCAGTACAGAAGTATGCTGACCCAGCTGAGAACAGCCAGCTGGCTGTGAGCCTTCCACCTGCTTGTGGGCATTAGCCAGGATGTTTTTCAGAGGACAGGAGAACATTAGTTCATCTAACAAGGTGGTTTAGTGGAGGCTAGTTAAAAGTTTGTATCATACTCCAGTCAAAGAATCTGCTGTTGTACAGAACAAAATATTTTGTACCAAATTGAAGTTAAAGTTTTTATCAAGATAGGATTCAAATTAATTTCATTATATACATGACAGACTAACAGCTTAGATCTCATCCCTCCTGGAAGGTAATTAGGAAAAGAAAGATAAATTTGCTCTCTAGGCTGTAATATTTCCTCGGCTTTAAAATTTCCCCAGGACAACAGACATTCCAACAACTAGTAGTAGCATCATCATCTGAAGTGGCATCTTACTGAGGACAGAACTGGGGCTGGACGTCAGCAAGGCACATTTCAGATCAGTACGCAGAACTTTCCAATAGCTAGAGATAGTCAGCACATAACTGTCTCATGAAATCGTGGGTGTTTCCTTAGAGGTGTCCAAGAACAGGTGAGATACTCACTGGCTGGCAGAAGGGCTCCTACTTCCAGCATGACATTGTCCCAGGTGACCTTGAAGGTACTTTTGAACTTTAATGTCCTAGGACTTTTATTTCTAAAATACTTCTTGGTTCCCACCTAATTTTTTAGGTCGGGTCTAATGTTTTCATTGCCTGGGCCTTTGGCCACTAATTTACATTGCTATACGTTGTGTAAAAGCACCTGAAACAGAAATAGCTAAAAAATGTCCATATCAGACCACTCATCACCTGTAAGAGGGTATGGCTATGAAATATAGCCTGATGCTTTTATTTCCTCAGTGCCTGTGATAATTACTCAATAAAAACTTTATGTCCTTGGGCACTCTAAGGGTAGCAGTAAATATTTAGTGTTGGCAACTGCAGCCTTCAAGCCTTACACACAAAATGCTGTTCTCTGTCTTGATTGGTGCACAGAGGAGACTCTGTGGTGGTGGGAACTGAATTTTATTTTTAAAACAGAAGGTATAATGAAAAGAACACAAAGATATATATTATAATTAATGCAGGTGTGCCTTGCTATAAGAAAACAAAGTAAACAAGATCAGAAATTATAAACCATGTAAATCAGGCTGATTATTTGCATTGTGTAATAATTGTTCTTCACTTTAAGACAAGCAAATAAACAAGATCAGAAATTAAAGATCTATAAATAAACAAGATCAGAAATTAAAATCTATAAATAAACAAGATCAGAAATTAAAGATTATTTGTATTATACAATAATTGTTCTTCACACAGATAGAGTTTCCTTAAATATCAGTTTTCTCTAATATATTTGAGAGCTTATTCTCACATCGCAAGCTAAGTCCTAGACTTCTACATCTAGAAAACACCCTAGTGTTTTTCCAGCCCAGTAACTTTATTTCCAGGTGAGGAAGCTGAGGCCCAGAGAGAAGTTCTAAATGTTATACGTAGGGCCATATTGCTAACGACTGGCAGAATTGGCCCAGGAACCCGACTCCAGGGTCTTTCCCCTTAATTCTACTTCTCAAGGCTGAGGACCCCATGACAGCACATTCTTCTAAAAACTGGCTTCCTTTTCACTTTATTTCTTTGTTTTGT